GTACAGACCAAAGATCAGTTTTATGTTATTTGATACAGTAACATGAGTGCACGTAGGTCACATCATTGTAACTTCTGTATTGTATAATGTTAGGAGATTTAAGCTATATAGTCTAAACAATTATGTTTCCATGTTATAATTTGTGTTTATTCCAGATTGAAAGAGGCATAATTTATATTTATTTCCTAATTTTTTTATGGTGGTTGTAAGATCAGTCAAATCTACCGACCCTGTACAGAGATTAATTACTGAAAATAACAGATAAAATATTAACTTTTTTCTTAAGAAACGTTTGATAACTATCTGGACATTATAAAGATTTCACATGTGAATTTTGAACATTTTTTGATGCATAAAAGTATTTTTAATCTTAAAATGAAAATTACTTTGCATGATAGATAGGTAAGATGCAAAAATTAAAAAAAAGGCATGAGAAAAAAAAAGATTGCTTTACAAACCTTAAAACTTATTTTAAAAATTGTATATTTTGCATATGAGAGCATTGTAATGTTAACTGATAATTTGCCAAATTTCATTAACATTCGTTTACTAATTTAAAAGTTATAGCATGAAAATTATAACAAGCATAAAATGGTTACGAGGTTGGTCCCAAGGACTGAGCCCATGCTAAAAGAGTTAAAAACTTACTTGTGTCCAGGTTATCATCACACTCCAAGGACTTGAAATCTAGTAGGTAGCTTTTGTAATCTACTTGATACAACTGAAGGCTCATCTTCACCTGAAGAAGGGACGAGTTTAGTACAAAATATGGAAAGAAATCTTAAATCAGGGCTAATGTAAGATGATTTATAAAGAAAAAAATCATTTGAAAAATCTTATTCAAGAAACTAGTGCAACAGCTGAATAGACTTTCTCATTCTATAGATTTGTAAGGCTTACTACAAATATGTTTTCATGAAAGGTCACTTGGTATGCATTGTTTGTGAATGTTTAAAATACAAATACATACATATTTTTATATATATATATATATATATATATATATATATACACACACACACACACA